AACTCATTCTTTCATGGATCATGGGCTTTGATAGTCTATCTAAAGAGAAGTTCTTTTGTTGTTTTTATTGTTGTAACAGGGATTAAACCCAGGGTACTTCACCACTGAGCTACCTCCCCAGCCCTTTTTATTTTGAGACAGGGTCTCAAAATAATCATAAGTTACTTAGGGCCTCACTAAGTTGCTGAGTTTGGCTTTGAACTTGCACTCCTCCTGCCTCAGCTTCTCAAGCTGCTGGGATTAGGGGCATGCACTACCTCGCCCAGCAATTTGAACAGCTTTTAAGAATCCTATCAAGGTAAGTCTACTGACAACATACTCTCTCAAGTTACTTGTCTGTGGATGTCTTTATTTACGTTTGAAAGATAATTTCACAGGATAAAAATTGGTGGATTTTCCACTTTAAGTATTTTGCTCCATTCTCTTCTTGCTGGCGTGGTTTGGGAGGAAAAATCAGATGTCAGCTACTCTGTAACTATCGAGTGGTTTCCCCCCTCTGGCTTCTTTTGAGATTTTAAAAAAATATTTGATTTCCCTTGTTTTATTTTTGAATATACTAGGTATAGGTGTAGTCATTTGGTACTTCTCCTGCTTGCTGTTCTCTGAACCTCCTGGATATATATCTTTGTGTCTGACATTAACTGGAGGGAAATTCTCAGTTATTACCGCCTCAAAACACTTTGTTCCTTTCTTTATTCTCCTTTTAATATTCTCATATGTGCATGTTATAATTTTGTAATTGTCCCACAAGTCTGGGTATTCCATTTCTGTCTCTTTTTCTTTCCTTCAGAGTTTTCTCTTTGCCTTCTATTATGGAAGTTCCTATTCTCATGTCCTCAAGCTCACAGATTCTTTCCAGTCTACTGATGAGCCCATCAAAAGCATCTTGATTTCTGTTAAAAGTCTTTGATTTCTGGCACCCTTTTTACTCTTAGAATATTCGTCCTCCTGCTTATATCATCTGTATTTTTACACGCTGTGCACTTTCCGTGTGTCTTTGTCAGCTTTTTGGCTGCTGTAACTAAAGGATCTGACCAATACAACTGTAGGGGAGGGCTCACAATTTCAGGGGTCTTAGTCCAGAGAAGGCCAGCTTCATTCCTTGGGCTCGAGGTGAGGCAGAACATCATGGCAGGAGAGGGTGGTGGAGGAAAGCAGCTTACGTCATGGTGACCAAGAAGCAGAGAGACTGCACACCCCAAATACAGATACATACCCACAGCCATGCCCCAATTCCCACCTCCTCCAGCCACACCCCTATCATGGGATTAAATCACTGATTGGGTTAAAACTCTTACAACCCAATCATTTCTCCTCTGAACCTTCTTGCATGTGAGCTTTTGGAGGACACCCTTAGCATAGCTATCATAGTATTTTTGGAAAGATCTTGGTCTGATAATTTCAAAATTCCTATTATCCAACTCGGTTCTGATGCTAGTTCTCTCTTTAGTCTTTCCTTTTTTTATTGGTGTATTATAATTATACATGATGGTGGGATTCATTATTCCATATTCATACATGCACATGAATGTACTTCTTTTAGTACGTAATTTTTTTTGTTGTTGTTGTTGGAGGGACTTTATGTGCTAGGTAAAAGCAACTGCTGCACACAGGATTTTGGCAATGTGGTGTAAGATGTGGGGGAGGGAACTATTCTATAATGATTAAGTCTTGGTAAGTCAATGTCCCTGGTTCATGGACTTCACGATTGCTTCTCAGCACAGACCCTGTCCCCCAACAACCTCTCAGGTAAGATAGAATGGTTGGAAGGACCTGTAGTTGGATACTTCCCCTTCCCCAGGTCAGCCAGGCCTTTGTAAGAATGGTTTCTCTTGAGGTCAGAGCTCAAGAATAGAATGCTCTTGTATACTTCAAAAATTTGGTTACTTAATATTTTCCCTGAGGAAGCCCCAAAGGGATCTTTCTCCAACATTTACTGTGAGAATATGATTGAGCTGCTAAAGGTGAACTCACAAAAGGCCATGGTCTCCCCTCTTACCATGTCTCCTGCGGTTTTATCTTTCAGGATTGAGTACAATGAGGCTCCAACAATTTGTCATTAATGGTGCAGATTTTCCTACCCCAATTTGGCCTCCAGAGAAAATTCTGACATGAGTTTCTGCTCCAGGAAGAGGGAATCTGTCTTTGCTGTCTGTTGCCAGCAATCATGGCGGCAGTGTTGGCCCTGTGACCTCATTTCCCTGAGAGATCCAGGAAAGTCTGTTCAAACTTTTACTTCTTGTTAGGCAGAGGGATAACGCCAAGGTCCTCAATGCATGACTGCAAAGGGAAAGCCCAGTGGCTCCTTTCTAATTTCTATTTTTTCCTCTCATCATTGCAGTCATATGCCAGTTCCACCACTGGATTTTGGTAGCAGACATGTTTCTACAAGTCGGGTTCCACAGGTTCATGGATGAAAGGGTTTTGCCCCAAGGAGAACAAACCCAGCAAATCCTTACTAACAGCAGACTCAGGAGACCACAACCCAGAGTGTGACATTCTGTGGCAGTGAATGGACATGAGAGACCCTACACCACAGCATGAGGTTCTGTTCTGTAAGCACACAGGGGAGACTTCATCCCAGTGATACTGAGGACACCCGCCACTCACAGCATGAGGTCCTGCATCAGGGAGGTGTCAAGGGATGTAGGACACCCTATGTGTCACTCTGATCCGGGTCCTGGTAAATGGATGGGGAGCCATCCAAGCCAGAGACGTGGGACAGATGTGCATCCCTAGGTGGTGGGATGCCAGCAGAGATGAGTTCTCTGCTGTTGGTCAGAGGAAGTTAAGTGGGGCTGGGACTCACTGCCAACATGTTCTCTAACTGCGGACCACACGCTCTGGGTTGCTGACAGTGAGCTGCACATGCTGCTCACGTGGGGTGCCTGGCAAGAGCGTCTTCTCCATTAGTACTGTCATGCCTGGCAGCATCCCCAGCACTGCCCTACTAGTGGTCTTCCCACCTGCAACTCCCAGCTCTGGAGCTGGCTTCTCCTTGTCTACCCAGGACCAAAAAGTTTCCTGTCAGGCAGTGTCCTTTCAGGGATGAACTAATGGGGAAAACAGGTGGTAATACCTCATATAGGAAACAGTCTATGGGACACGAGAAAAAGGGGTCAGTTTGAGCCTAACACCATAGTCTCCAAATGTCTGCATTTTACACTATTGTAGTCCTAGACCTGCTCTTCAGGCTGGCTCTTCCTGTGTCGATCAGATCTAACGAACTTACAGAGAGGCTCTAAGGAAGACTCTAGAAGATGTAGGTCCTGGGGCAGGTGCACACCGCCTGTCCGTTTTTTGTCAAAAGTGCACAGAGCTCTCCTTCCACAATACCAGCATTTGATTAACAGAAATGCGACATTCAACAAGGAAGGACCCGGGTCCAGGTGGGACAGGCTGGTGCCCTCCAGGCCTCCTGGTATCATACTGGCACTCCACGTGTAGCCTCAATGTTCTCTGAGAGTTGTTTTCTACAGCCTCTGCATCTCTGACACTCATCCCAGGGCCAGCTCAAGTGCTGCCTCTACAGAAGACTTCATCCTGGGATTCCCAAGTAGAGTCCCTCGAGTCTGGGATCCTCAATGACCCAACATGTGGTTTTCCAGTCACCACAATCCTATCCCTATGGCCACTGCACTGTCACATACTGGAAGAGGCAGCCCATGGTCCAAACAACTTCCTGCAAGGTACTCCTGGGGCCCTACCTGTCATTATCTGAGGGATACCCACAATACAAGCTGCTGTACCCTGAACTTTGAAGGGTCCAACACCTGCTTTCCCCATGCCCACGCTCAAAGTACTAGCCATACCAAAGGTGAATTTCTGCCACCTGGGAGCTGGCTTCTTTAGTGGCAGGGTGTGGTCAGGAGTGCCCATGCACAGGGTAGAAGCTCTACCAGGGCAGCTGTGGTTCTGTGTGCAGCTCCTCCCCCGCATATCCAGTTTTCAGAGGGTTCCGAGAGCTGAAAAGACAACGTGGATGTAGAAATCTGCGGCCAACCTGAGAACTGACTGAGCAGAACTTCTGCTGTGCATAGGAGGTCCTGGGTGTTGGGAAGCACCTCCAGGAGCTGGAGTATGGTGCTTTCTCCTAGAACACGAGAGGAATCACTGTGGGTGGCACTCCACCTCCACTCACCGGGCCTTTCTCAGCCTCTTCCTTTTTTGTTTTTATTTTTTTTAAACCTTCATTTTATTTGTTTTTTATTTTTTTATGTGGTACCGGGTATTGAACCCAGTGCCTCACACATGCTAGGCAATTGCTCTACCACCAAGCCACATCCCTGGTCCCCTCTTTTTTTTTGTTTTTAATTGCCACAATAATGGCACCTATTGCCTTAGTGCCTGCTGAAGGGGGAAAACACCAACATTTCAGTATGACATTTCAGAACAAGTCTACCATGTGTAATGGTCAGATCAGGGGTAATTAATATATCTATCTCCTTAAACACCATCAATTCTCTGGGTGAGAATACTCAGAATCACCTCTTCTAGCTGTTTTGCAATATGCTACTCACTAGAGTCACTCTACCATGCAAGAGAACACCAGAATCTTTTCCTTCTAACTAGTTTTGTTCCTGTTTTCCTACCTTCCTTTTGACCCCTGGTAACCACTATCCACTCTACTTCTGTGAGATCAGCTTTTGCAGTTCCACATGACCAAGATCACATGGTATGAATAAAGAAACTATGGTGTGTATACACAAAGGAATATTATTCAGCTCCCCCCAAAAGATGAAATCCTGTCACAGCAATATGGATAAACCAGGAGGATGTCATGCTAATGAAATGAGTCAGGCACAGAAATACAGGCACTGCCCATTCTCGCCCATGCAGAGACAAAAAGCTGATCTCATAGGAGTAGAGAGTAGAATGGTGATCACTAGAGGCTGGGGACACAGGGGAGAGGACAGATGGAGGGAGGCTGGATAGCAGGAACTAAAACACAGCTGGAAAGGAGAAATCAGCCTTCATGTTCTACAGCCCTGACAAGTGACTACAGTTCACAACAGTCTATTATCTATTTTAGGAAGAAGAAGAAGAGAGGATTTTGAAGTCTCCTAATACCAATAAATAACAAATGTTTGAGGAAAATGAAATACTTATTGCCCTGATTTGATGACCACACTCATATACATGTATGAGACTGTCACACTAGAGCTCACTGTTAGCTTTCCACTGCTGTGACACAATGCCTGAGGAAAACAATTTAAAGGAGGAAAGCTTTGTTTTAGCCTATGGTTTCAGAGGCTTAGTCCACGGTTGGTTGTCTCTGTTGTTTAGGCCTGAAGTGAAGCAGAACACCATGGCTGAAGAGTGGAGGGAAGGAGCTGCTCAGCTCATTATTGCCAGGACGGTGTGAGGCAGCAAGAAGAGGGGTGTGGTGCTGAGGTCAAGATGTACCATTCCAGGGCACATACCCAGGGACCAACTCCCTCCAACTAGGGCCACCTCCTACAGCTCCACACCTCCCGACACTCTACTCGATTGGAATTCCTCCATTGATTAATCCACTGGTAAGGTCAGAGCCCTCATGATGGGATCACTTCCCAAAAGGCCCCACTTCTGAACACTGAAGCATTGGGGACCATCCATACAGGAGTGTTTGAGGGACATTCCAGTCCAAACCATAACACCCACAAACATGCAGTGTACATTAAATACACAGATGGGTGACAGTGGCCTGCTGTGATGTGGCTTATGAAAGGACCATCTTTCTCTCTCCCAGGGGCCCCCTGGGAGAGGTGTGAGTGTCCTAAGACATAAAACATGAAGGCCAAGAGTAGGATGCAGCTGCAAAACCTATTTTAAAACTAGCATTTCTGGGCTGGGGATCTAGCTCAGTTGGTACAGTGCTTGCCTTTCATGCACAAGGCCCTGGGTTCAATCCCCAGCACCACAAAACAAACACCACCACCCCCACCGCAAAAAAATTATCACTTTTTTCCTATTACTGGAGAGACCTCGGGTCTGTCCAGAAGACAGAACTCTGCACTTTTTGTTAAGGGTGCTGTCACTTCTCTCTTGGGGGCAAAGGCCAGGCAGGTGTTTGCTGAGTGCTCTGGAGGTGTATTGGACTTCGTAACGCACGGGGAGCGACAAGAGCTGTCCACCAGAGGAAGCCAGAGCAGGATGTGGTGGTGAGTCTGTGGCTGCAGTTCCCACTGGGGGGGCTTGAGTGTCACTCCCAGAGCGTGCCCGTGACGCTGTGATGGAAGGGCAGGAATGTGCAGTCGCGTTCCTTCAGGAGGACTTGGGTATTGCCTTAGTGCCTGCTGAAGGGGGAAAACACCAGTGTTTCATGTTGGATAGCTTGGGCTGCAGCCCTGCAATGGCAGCACCAGGCTGGGATCTCACAGCTTCAGGGACAGCAAAGATGGTCATACTGTATTGGCTGCCCTCACCAGGACAGGGCTCTGCCTCCATGCTCATGACACCCAGGAGGAACCTCATGTGTACAGTGGCTCCCTCCTTCGGCTGCCCGTCCTGGGGCAAGGTGGGTTCCCAGACAGGACTTCAAACACCCACAGCCCTGAATGGCTTCCCAGGCCCTACTGCAAGGGACACACAGGCTTGGGAAGTGCAAACCTGGAGGTGCAGTGTGTCTCCTCCTAGGTCAGCCTCTTCATCCGTCGGTTATGCTTGTCCACGGTCAGGGTCGCACGGTCCACGGCTGCTGTGATGCCACCCAGGGCCTCATCCTGCCGCTCTAGCTCTGTCTCAGTGTCCAGCGCCAGCCCCTTCAGCTTTGTCAGGATCTGGGGAGAAGTGCAAATAACACACAAGCAGCTTTCCTGAGGATGTTCAGGAGCACACACACCACTCACAGACCTCAGGAGCTGCATGTGAATGCACGAAGTTTTCTGAGTTGATGGCAACAGAGCCCACAGAGCCCACAGAGCCAGCTCCTGAGCGTGGCCGCAGCATATAGAACTCAACCCTGCCAGCCGCCAGCACACAGGACCACCTGGAGAGCTTTCTCTGTCTGCCCATGCCTCTGGCCTTGTGGGAATATCCTCCATGAACGTGGGTGCCTGGGTGTTGTGTCAGGTGGCTGGGAGCGTGGGGCTCAGTCCAGGTTCCTGGTCCCATCCAGTCACCATGTATGTTACCTGTCTGTGCCCATCTGGATGTGGATTAAACAAGACTTAAAAGGAAGAGCAGAGTACTGTTTTCCATGTGTAGAAGATGTCACACACAAATATAACAGGCAGAAAAAAACAAGTTCTGACATGTACCACACAGTGACTCTCCATCAGCAATGGACTACACATGTGACAGTGGTCCCATGGGATGGTGACAGCTGAGAAGCCCTTGTCACATGATGCTGTAGCAACATCACCCTCTTCATTTCTGTGGCTGTGCTTCATATCTGTGGGCAGAGCTAGTGTGCTGCTAGCATGCAAACTGCAGGGCAAGTCATTGTGCCAGCACGTGACACTTAGTAATAGCTACCAGGGCTATGGTATGCTCTGGCTTATGCATCTACCACACCACACGCTTCATGTTAGAGTGCACTCCTCCTACAAACAGTGTGCCGTGTCTTGCTGGCCACAACCTCGTGCACCTTGTTACTACCTCTTGGTGGCAGTGAGGCCACAGCAGTGACTGCTCCATATCTTCTAAGTGTGTGTAGGTCACTCTGTGACGTTCGCATGAGGATGCAATTGCCTCACAGCATCTTTCTCAGATTATGTCCCACTTGTCATCAACAGGATGAGGAGCTGTACAACACAAACCCACCAGAGTGGGGGCACCTGGCTGCACTGATCTGTGAGTGGGAGGTTCACTGAGCATGAGGGCCTGGGGACAGTAGGGATATGCACAGGTCACGGAGGAAGACTGCCTGGGCCACTGCTGGCCAGCTCCTGTGTGCTGTGACTCACGTCATGTTTCATGGAGTCTTGTTCCATCTCCATTCTGTGGACACTCATCACACTGTGCAGCACTGCTGTTGAACTCATGCTTACAGAGTGCACTGGTCAAAACCTTGATAGACTCAGGCTGACAGCAGGAAGGAGAACATTTCAAAAGAAATAGTAATGACAACTACTTGAGATACACACAATCACCCGCTTTCAAGGGCAGTTTCAGAGCACCATGAGGTCACTGAAGAGGACCTGCAGGGCCTGATTCATAGGAGGAGCCCCTGTTGTACTGGCAGCCTCCCCAGAAGAGAGTTGTAGAAGATCCACTTACAGCACATTGAGTGTGCACAAGGACTGCCTAGGTGGTGACTCTGGAGGGCCAGCAGAGCTCCTCTAGAGACTATGGCTGTGCCTGAGGCCTTCCCAAGGCCCCCAGATGACACAGGTAGGAGCTCTGAGTCCACAGGGGTCTGGGAGCTCCTCTAGGGACTGAGGCTGTGCCTGAGGCCTTCCCAAGGCCCCCAGATGACACAGGTAGGAGTTCTGAGTCCACAGGTGCCAGAGTGGGTAAGGCAGAGCCATCAGCACAGAGTTAGCTGTTACACCAGCAGGTGTCTGCAGGTATCTGGAGATGACCCAACAGATGCTCCATGGCCAAATAGCAGACACTCAGTTTCTAGCATCATTAACCCCTTGTTCACAGGTCTGGCCTCTAAAGACAGGGAGACTTCCCTGTGCTCTGTGTCTGACCAACCAAAACAAAACAGGAAACAGGAGCCTGAGACAGTAAGACTCAATAGCTTCCCTGTAAGGTGAGGTTCGCATGAACACACCACGTAAATGAGCTCCACAGACTGAAGGTGACTCTGCAGATCCCAGAGGAGCCCGTCCTGAGCATGTGCATTCTGCAAGTGGGCTGTGACAAAGGGGCCGTCTATCCCTCTCCAACATATAGTGCCTGCGCTGGGCTCGCTGTCACGAGACATGGCTGACTGCAGATGGCCGCCCCAGATGAGCCTTCTCACTCCCTCTGGTAACTGGTGGAAACTCCATCAGGTGAGTCATTTCTTAGGAACTGGCCAGAGCTCTGGAAAGTATACTGTGGGGTCAGCTGGCTCTGGGGGATGGGCTGGATGACCTCATACAAAAGTAGGTCTTTTCCATCTCCTAGGCCTATGACCTCACATGGCGGATGCCCAGACTGCACATTAAAGAAGGAAAAATAAACCCCAGCCCACTGCCAGGGTAGATGGGCTCCTCCCTGCCACTTTTCCTGGTCAATGACTTCTTTCTCACTTACCTCTACTCTCAGTGCAGGAGGAAGGTCACCTTGTCAGGAACTGGCACAAAGGGTTGGCCTTTGCCACCCACCTGCTTGTCACTTGATGTCCCCAGACAAGGCCCTCAGCCGCCCACAGTTGGGTCACAAACAGCCCCTGGCAGCGTGTATGTAGTTTCTAGGTCCCAACGATCTCTCTGAAATGTGATTGAGTTTATGGCCACCCACTGTATAATGACGTCTTAATTAGTGATGGGCCTATATATGACAGGGGTCCCGTAAGATCACATGGCCTGGTGACACAGTGGCCATCTGATTTTGTACATCTGATCTGTGATGCTCCCACAGTGGTGCACTTCTCTGACTGTGTCCCCGCTCTCAAGCAGATACAGGACTGTGTTGGAAGTGGAGATGTACTGTGGACTGCAAGGCTCTAAGCTATGTAACCTGACTTCTTTGCACATGAGCTGAGAGCTGAGCCTCTAGAAATATACCTGCACTGGAAGTCCAAGTCCTGGCTAGAACTCTTGGTACTGAGGCTTCTGCAGGCCACATATGGGTCCTATAATCCCCCAGCTACTTGGCTCCCTTTAGTGGAGATTACTGTTTGTCTTCTTATTGTAAGAATAGTATGTGTAAAAAGAAAAAAGTTGAAGAAGAAAATAATTGTTCATGATCCAGATTATTATCTGTCTCATTAGCATCCCTGTTCCCAAAATCCACAACCTGGACCTTCTGACCTGAGGCCACAGTGCAGCGTTCCACCCCTGGCTTTGTGAGACAGGCTGCAGCTGAAACACTGGTGCACCAAGAACTGTCCTAGGTCACCTTCAGACTCTGTGTGTAAGGTATATGTGAGACAGAAATGGATTTTGTGTTTAGAATCAGTTCCCCATCTCAAGAGAGCTCATTATGGCTATACAAATATTCACAGTCCTGAACAATCTGAAACGCATAGGACTCTTGTCCTGAGTACTTCAGAGAAGGGTGCTCAGCCTGTGTAAATCATATCTTTTCCCATCACCATATTCATATGCCCCCACAATGTCCAGGAATATGGGATTAGAGTACACACAGTTTTGTTTCCTGTCTTTTTCATTCCCTAGCCATCCTGAATAGAAGCTCATAGTTAGGAAACCCAATGTCAGGCACCCAAACATTGTTTCAAGACTTCACATGTATCATCTCAGATAATTCTCAAACAAACCTATTTTATAAATGAGGCCAAGAAAGGCTGGACACTGGCTGGAACTCTGGGGTGCACTGGATCCAGGCTAAGCCAGTTCTAGAAGAAGCAGAAACACCTTTCTGACATCAGATTCAGAGGTCTGATGATGCACACACAGTAACTAGGACACTGCAGAAACTGCATGTTCCTGAAGAACACAGTGCAGACCTCACCAGGGGTTGGCAGGAGGGAAAGAAATGTCCCAGGGGTACTGGGTTTCAGGACCCGTGCTCTTGTCCATAGCCCTGAGCATGCACAAAAGCTCTCTGCTGAAAGGCCAGCTCAATAAGCAACTATAGATTTTTAAATACCCACATAATAAGGAGAAAAAACAAATATATCCCCAATACTACATTTCAAAATGAAGTCAATAAAAGCAATGATTGATTATGTATAGTATTTTAGTTCAACGAATGTGTATAAAGTCTTGCTATGTCAGTGTGAATGTTAGACTTAACACATATTTCAACTAGGACAGACAGGTGAACGCTGGATACATGTGACACGAGATCACAGGACCACAGGACCATCCTTCCAGAGGACCATCTCATCGACACACCCTGTGTGGCCAACACTTATGTCTCCATCATCCTCACATGACTCTGCCCACAAGGACTATCTCCACGTTAGACTTCCATCTCCATCTTTCTGAAAGGAATCAACTGCCTTGTTCCTATGCACAGTGAAACTGTGGTAAAGGTAAGAATATACATATATATATATATATATATATATATATATATATATATATACACATATACATACATATATATATATATGTATATATATGTATATATATATGTGTGTATATATATATATATTCCTTGGTCTTTGCCTAATAAGCAAAGTAATATATGCACCAGGGGCCAAAACCTGCTGACCACCTGTAAAATTTTGGGCATTTTATTATATAAATCATGAAATACAGAGTAGTTCCATTCAACTTTTGACTTGGAAAAAAGTCTCACTGAATTTTAAGCCTAAATAATAGAACTCATTCCAAAGGCCTGTTAAGACCCTTGCCCTGTCTGCCAAAAAATGCACTTGGAAAATAATTAAATATTGCAAATTCAAAAGAGATCTTTATAGTTACTACGTATGCAGACAAAGAAAATTACAAAGTTAACCTTCAAAGCATCAGTACCTCTGGAATATTGGTAGCCTTTTTCCTTTAAGAGAGGGACTGAAGTAATTAAACAGCATCGTGTGCATTCCATATAACAGGATGGAAAGAATGGAGCTCATGAAGTCTGGCCAAACCTTAAAAACAGTTGTTCCCTCTGTGGCTCAGGATGACAAGCTGTCTAGTCATCCATGTTAACGTTGCCAGCCGCTGAAATAACCAGGGGCCTCTCCGATGAGCCCTCTCTGGTTGTGAGTCAA